GGCGATCATCAGAAAACTGTGATTAGGCCTAGGTGTTGTTATCCTATTTATATTGTTCATCATGAAGCGGTTAGGTAATTCTATTGTTTTTAATACAGTTCAGTGGGTTGCTGTTGTGACGACACTTAGCGACCAGTTCGGTTCTTTTGTTTATGTTAGATTGTTTTGCCATTAGGATTGCTAGTTTTTCTTCTATGCATAGGTTGCACTGGCAAGATTTACGTTTGTGTGTGTTGGATTTCTTAATGATTTCCCACTTCAGAGAGTATTCATAGCCCTTTATTTTTAATTCCCATGTGTTTTGAGACATAACAGACAAATAACAAAACAGATAACAAATAAAATCTCAACACCAGTATACTACAAGCAATAATTTATTCTCATAATTTTATGTTCATAATAATTAAATATTAATTCAAGGCATTATTAGCAGCATTGCATTTGACAAACTTCTATTAAAATCTTAACCCGTTTAATTCTTACACACGCATCAATAATTAGGGGCTACAAAACAAACTGCAAATAAAGTAAGATATGTCATTAAGTGATGAGACAAGATATGTCATTAAGTGATGAGACAAGATATGTCATTAAGTGATGAGACAAGATATGTCATTAAGTGATGAGACAAGATATGTCATTAAGTGATGAGGCAAGATATGTCATTAAGTGATGAGACAAGATATGTCATTAAGTGATGAGACAAGATATGTCATTAAGTGATGAGGCAAGATATGTCATTAAGTGATGAGACAAGATATGTCATTAAGTGATGAGACGAGATATGTCATTAAGTGATGAGACGAGATATGTCATTTTGTGATGAGGCGAGACCTGTCATTAAGTGATGAGGCAAGATATGTCATTAAGTGATGAGGCAAGACCTTTTTATACCTTGTTTTGTGAACTTATTTCTTTAAAGATTGTCTGAGAAAAATAAATAAAAATAAAATTATGTTTTCTCATTTACTAAAATGATTTTGCCATAACCATCTAGGTGGAGGAGAATAAAAAATAAAATGTTATTAATGGATCACACAGTGTAGTTATGAGATTAATCAATGCTTTAAAGTTATACAATTAAGGAAGAAATGTATATATATATCTTATTTTCAGGGAAGTGGAGAGCATAATTTGACGTTTGTATGGTGTCTTTTTTATGATTGGTTTGATGTATTTTCTAATTGTTTATGCCAGATGTGAATAGACCAATAAAGTTTATCTTATCTCTTATCTTAATAAAATATAAAATTTAAATTTTCTTAATAAACTTTTGTGTGGTGGTGGCTTCACTTATTGGCCATTTTTATTTCAAATCATCTTTATTGGCGTGCGGCAGGTTCGTTAAACAAGGTATTAAAAAAAGTCTTGCCTGAGCACACTAAGTTCTGCAATACATAAATTAACAGTTATGCTAATTAAACATTCATTAATGCAGACCTGCCAATGTTATGCAATGTTATGTAACAGGAATGTGGGACACTTACAGAAGGGAGATCCACACTGTGACCTCTGTGCCAACATATTGAAGGTTAAGAAGAGAAAAGTTAAAGAGTATGGTGGTCCTAGATGGCTATAAATGCTTAAAAGTGGGTGGTGGGGTGGGGGGGGCATGAAAGCAATGGTTACTGTTTTATAGGCAGTCTATTTCATTTAGTACAGTGAATTTTATAGAATACAGAGTATATTCTACTCTTGTCGTATGCATGAGCTTACAGTAAAGAAATGTGTGACTTTTAACTATATTTTACAAATGCGGACGGGAACACAGGACAACATTTTTTTGGCGTGCGAAGAAAGCGGGACACTTGGCAGGTCTGCTAATGTCACTATCAAGTTTCTTTATTATGTCTTTTTCACAGCCACGGCTGAATTACGTGGTTTAATTACTCATTTGTATATCAAAATATTAAAATTACCTCATAAATAAAAAAACATCAAGAATTATCAGAAATTAATTAGAAATACAAGTTGATTGAATAAAATACTGTAGCACATAGGACTAATAATTCATAAAAATATGTAAATATACAAATACAGTAATAAGTTTTATAATGTGTCTTGCCATTCAAAACCCAGCATTAGTGACCAAAAATGAAACTTGACTTTTTAATTTTTCTGAATTTCAACACTATAAGCTTTAAAATGATGGGTCATTTGCTAAAATTGACTTAATATTGCCAAAGTTATGAGTAAATGTATTATGGCTTCCCTGTAATAAAGTACTGTACTGCCACTGTATTCTTATGCTAATTACTCGGTTTAAGAATCGGCGATATTACGCTGGTTTCGGGAGAATATGTATGTACAAAAACTTGGTTTTGGGAGAATAATCAGCATCAAAGATAAACTAACCTGTACAAATAATAGGACTAGATATACAGAATGTGCATGGAGAATTCTTTTTAAGAAAACTAGTTTAAAAAATAAAAATAACAAAGTTTGACTTTGATCTATTTTGGTGATTATCTCAGAATAATCTTACCAACGACGTGTCTCATTTTGTGGTAAGATCTCACATTTGATCTTGCTAATACTTGCAATTTTAAAAACATTCAAGTACAACACAATATGACACTAACTGCTCACGTTGCCAACAACCAATTTACTGGACGCAACATCCAATTTCTTACCTGAAATTCAAATAAAGTTATCATAATTTAGAGAATAAAATTCTACTTGTTCTGATCTGATTGTGACAACAGATTGTCTAGAAGTTTTGACACACTAAGGCACCGTTAACAAGCCTGTGGGTCATACAATACATATTATTGTATGTGATTTATTAACTTAAAACTAAAAAAATAATACCATTATTAAATAATTTTAACATTTGGCCTTTGGTCTTGATGGGTCACATCTGAAAACCCAAAAAAAAAGTCGCAGAACAGGGCACGAACGTACCTGTCTATGGTAAATACATCATTGATGTCATTGATTCTTTTTATCAAGAAAATTCTAATCAACTAAATTTTTAATTCATAATCTAAAGCCCTATCCAGACTATCAAATTTTATTTGACAAACAACGTATGATTATGGTCACAATGACATCACATCATGACTATAATATACGGACATCATGACTATAATTGAGGCATGTTGTGGCGAAATGGTTAAGTTGTCGCACAGTCCAGTATTGAGTAAATGAGCTATAAAATATGGGAGCTCAAAAAATTGCCTAAAAATCCAAATTTGTTTTTCACTATAGATCAACAGTTTAATGTCTTATTAATCATGTCTCAAAGTATTAGTTCTGGAAATGGTTAACAAATTGTTTAACGTAATTTTTCATAGTTCATTCTATTAAACAATGTATGCACAAATAACTTTGAAATTCAATTACTCAAAATCATGTTTATCTTGACTCTAAGAGTACTGTACTTTCACTTTCCAATAACTTAGGCTTGAAATGTCCAATTTGAATGAATGACCCCTCATTTTAAAGATCACTTACTCAGGTATCTGAAAATACCAATAACTTGAATTTGAATTTTTGCTACAACTTGGCCATTTTGCCACAACATGCCTCATATAGCCCCATCTGTTTGTGGTTGTTAAGGTAACCATATACCCCCATCTGTTTTGTGGTTGTTAAGGTAACCATATACCCCATCTGTTTTGTGGTTGTTAAGGTAACCATATACCCCATCTGTTTTGTGGTTGTTAAGGTAACCATATACCCCATCTGTTTTGTGGTTGTTATGGATACAACTATACTTTGTCAAATTAAATTAAATCTGATAGTCTGGGCACAGCTTAAGACAACATTGAGCTGTCTTTCTGAAGTTTGATGAATCTGGTCAATTATTTCCCACCATTTTCATGAGGTTTGGGAGTGGCAGCAAAGACATCACGGAATGTTCTGGACTGTGACAAAAACTGACGGGCTAAGTTGATCTCTGACCCAAGTAGATGCAAATCATCACCATCAAAACAAGGGAGCTCGAGGCACTTCAATAAAAAAGAGAGTACACAAATTATTGTATTATAATGGATGTGTTTGGATGTATGGCCTGCAGGTGTCTGGATGTGTGCAGGTAGAAGTCCCTGGATGTGGGGCCTGCAGGTGTTTGGATGTGTATCATGACAAGTCACTGAATGTGTGACTTGCAGGAGTCTGGATGTGTCATTACAAGTCTGGCTGGATATGTGGTCTGCAGGTGTCTGGATGTGTAACCTGTAGGTGTCTGGACACATCAGTACAAGTCCCCGGATGCATGGCCTGTAGGTGCCTGGATGTGCAGCTTGCAGTAGATGTTTGGATATATCAATACAAGTCCTTGAATGTGTGGCCTGCAAGTGTGTGGATGTTAAAATGCATGTGTCTGGATGTGTTACACTGTGTCTAATAATTGGTATCACACTGACCTGAGCATTTGATTTTTTTACTGACCTGGGCATTCTGGAATCCATTGGCTAAGAGCTTGTGAGCAAACATATCACCATCAACATGTCCATAGCAGCGGTGATAACGTCCTCGAGACATAGCTGCTAACTGCTTGAGGAAGACATTAGCAGCGCTAAATATAAGATATTGAGATTCAAGTTACTGTAGTTATCTATTCTTCGCATCAACTGTTGTACAGAGTCTTCATTTCTCATGTGTTTTATATATTTCTTATGGTTTGTTTCATCTGTTTTGTATATTAACACCAATGAAAATCACACTTCCATATTGCATTTTACATGTTGGACCAGAAAAATAAGATTGAAACCTGCCAAAATAAAAAACCCATCCTTAAAGAACCACTGTACACAATTGAAAGTAGAATCACTTTTTTATGCAGTAAAGCATATTCCTAATGCATGTCAGTCGTAGAAGTCTTGGAATTTATTATTACTGTAAATTATATGAGGGTTTCAGTCAGTGACATATAAAATTGCAGAAAAATGGTACAGTGGTGTTTCAGTTTTTTATTTATTTTTGTATAATATTGGGTTGTCCCTGGTTTGTATTCAATATCTTAATTAAATTTGTTAGGCTTTTCCCCTCGATTTTTGTCAGACAGTGTAACTTTAACTACCTTTAATGCAAAAAATAATTGATGACTTAATTAAAATAATAATATTTACATCTCATTGGAAAAATTGATTATTTCTTATTATAAAACCAAATACTGTATAACTATAATTTTTTTTTTAAATTATAAAAAAGTTTCCAAAACAACAAAGAACAAAACATGTGTTAAATCAAATTTAGATACTTACTCATCTTTACAGTTGAAAGAAATAGTGTTTATTTTTATGCAACGGACAGTGTTTAAACTTGCAACAGACTGTAATACACGACTCGTGCTTGAATCTGGCTTCCCATCCGTTAGCAAATACACAGCGTCAATATTAGGATCATCAAAGGCATGCTGCAGATAAAGCAAGAGATATGATCAGCTACAAATTGGCCAATCTTTCATGAACTGATTCACCTCTGGGGTAGGCTGCAATTTGTGTAAGAAAAGTGACCGCCACAAGTGTTAACATGTTTAAATCTGCCTTGGAGCACCACTGGTCCAACCACCCTCTTAAATACACACCATATAAGAAGATTGATCTGACAAAATTGAGGAGTCTATTAGGAAAATTATTATACTGGCACTTAAAATCCACGAAAAAAATCATGGGAGTTCAGGAAGATAATTTAAATTTCCATCCATATAAGCATACAAAGCACTATTAAATGTTATCTATACTGCATTATGCCTAAATAATGCTAGCTCTCTTTGCCCCTGGCGCTCCTTGTTTAGTTGTTACTAGACCGGAATGTTAAGTATATGTAAATATCTGTCTGAACTGACCTTCAGTATGAGGTTCTTCCATATTTTTATTACATCTAAACATTAACTAATAATAAGGGCAACCTATTCACCTGTGTATTGAACTTGACCTTATTATTCTTTGGTAAATTAAATATGTATTGTGAGAAATTGCTGCAGACTTTTAAATGTCTCTAGGGTACCCTTTCACAACCAATGTGTTAACACGTTACTTACGGAGAGTGCTTCTAGTGTACAGGTGTTACCACCAGTTACCAAGGTGGACACCCATCTGACAGCGTCGTTGCAGTTCTCGTTCGTTGGTTCAACGATTTGTGGACGCCATGACTCAACATCACCAGAGAAACGAATGATGTTGAAACTACGAAAGTAACATTAACTTTTGAGGTATATTCTGATGAAATTTGTCTCTTATACATTTCTATTTAATAAAACATATTTACTTTTATAATTAAATAATTTAATGTATTCATTAGCATTACTATTATCATTAGTAATACCAAAAAGTCAATCCCAGTGGGATTAAGATTCAGAGAATGTAGTGTTATAATACTGGTTCTCTACCATACCATTATAATGATTAGCAAAATATATTAGGAGCTATACCTTATGTTTTCTTTCTTGAGTTGTTCCCATATTAAAGCAATCAATTCCCTCTTGAGTTCATCCATGTGGTAGACCATGGATCCAGATGTGTCAACAAGGATAACCACCTGGAAAAGATGGTAATAGGGACAATAATTAGGAAAAACAATGACAATTTTGTGACATATTACTCAACTATTCTCCAAGGACTTCCCCGGGGCGGTCGGGCAGTGCGCAGGTCAGTAAATGCACCAGTCTGCACAGCTAAGCTAACCTGGGAAATCCGGGGTCATTGCAGTGTGACCTCCAGGGGTCGTCACTACTATAATATGAAGAATCAAACTCTTTAACACTCTAACAAAAATGTGACAATAATTTTGAGACAAATTATTATCTGTGGTCCTCACCTTCTTCTCAACAACTGATCCAAACACTCTCCGGCTGCTTCCTAGCAACCATTGCAAACGCCTTAGATATCTGCGAAGCACGACCTCCACCTGGTCTTCATACTCTTTTAGTTCATGTGCCCTCAGCTGTAAATGTTTGACAGTTCCCTGAAAGAAAACAAACAACTGTCAGGTTTATAATTTAAATTTGGCTAAAAATGTATACAAATACCATTCAAGTAATTGATTAGTGTAGCTCAGTCAGCTAAATGATCGGTAGTAACTGTGTGTGTGCTGAACCATAAAGATCTTTTGGTACTCGGTTCAATTCAATGCATCTGCTCCTCTACTTTTTCGAGCTAGGGGGCTGAAATGCAAGTATAAAAAAAATCTGTGTATGTGCATGTGAACGCAGTACACTCTTTGGCAAAGAGTACTGGATTGTCTCCAAGTGTACTGCCAACCAACAGAAGGACCCCCACTGTAAATATAAGTCTTTGGACTTTTGTGGGTTATCCTTGACATTCACACTAAATTGATCAAATCCAATCAAACAAAAGCAGCCTTAAATCTTAATACATTTTAATTGATTAACATAAGTGCCAATAAATTGACTTAATATATCAATTTACAAATTGATTTATATCAATTAATTATTAACAGACCTATTAGAAATTGGGAAAGTGCATTTAAGTGCTTCTATGCAAAATATTTTTATGGGAAGCCCCAGAATCCTTCCTCTTAAACTCCTGTCTTAAAACCTGTTTATACTACTCTTCAATCATAGATCCACCACTGCAAGTGTACTTACATTAATGTTAACACTTGGGAATATTGTGCAGTACTTGGCAGAGACATTCTTATGCAGAGTACTAATGTGTTTCTGGGTGTGGCAGCAATCTGGCCCGGTTATCAGCTTATTTAAGTCCAGTCTTAGCTTAGACAACCGGTATTTCTTCAACCACTGAAAAAACAAAAGGTAAATGAATTGAAAAGCAAATTAGTGTTGAAAATAAATGTACACCTATAAAGCTATTATTGCACATTTTAAATTTTCAAAATGTTCTAAATTCATCAGATTGTCACTAAAATACAATGCAATGCAGTATATGGTATTGAAATTTAGTTTAAAGTAAACCAAAACTTTAGCTTACATGCCACGTTTCAATACCATATATAAGTAGAAACCTAATGAAGTTATTTGAACATTAAAGCAGTGTAACTGACAACATGAACAATTTACTTCATTATCAACAGCATTATTATATTAACTGTATTCCTCCATAGTATATTATGTATGCTTACATTTTTTGTTGTAATTTGTTCTTCTCTGTCTGGTATTATTGGGTGATTTATTGGTTTATATTTCCTTTTCCGCCTATGTTCACGTTGTAATAACAAACCTAAAAAATAAATGTATTATCTTTTAAATTAATAAATTATTGAAATATTATTATTTATCTTTTTTTAGTCTTGTACAGAACAAGTTGAGCCCCTGACCACTTCACCAACTAAACACTTACCTACTTCATTTTTGTATTCCGTGTAGAACACTTCTTTGATACCTTTGTTTTTTGATGGTGTCGCTACCTTTTTGGCACTTGTTTCTTGTGTTGTTGCTTTCTTTGTTGAAACAGGACAAGCTTTACAAAGATAGATTATTAATTAATTAATAATCCAATAATATGTGTTTTAAATTTCAATATTAGAACATAAAAGTAGTCAGCAATATCAACAACTGAAATGTATTTATAAGGTCAAAAAAGATTGAAGTTTAATGATTGTATATTTTTAATAAACTTATGATAGCAGGATATTCCATGATACGCTATAATTGCAAGCGAGTTGTCACCATGACGCTATATAACATCGGCTTGACAAGGTCCATGGTGGAGGCAGATCATGTGGATTGCAAATTTGTATGTTTTTTAATAAATTCAGATATGCACACTGGGCATGCATCTAAAGGATATTTGAAGTAGTTTGAGTTTGATTGCTGGACTCAACCATTGAGTTCACAAGTGAGCATGCGCCTCCATACACCTCTGCAGACTTGCCACTGCTATAGATGTGAAAGAGTCTTCACTAATACGCTACTTAATATTAGTTTGACAAGGTATAAGGTGGACGCTGATTATGTTGATTGCAAATTTATATGTTTTCTAATGAATTCAGATATGTACATTGGGCATACACCTAAAGATTTGCAGACTGTAAGAAGAATTTGATTGCTAGACTCACAACCATTAGAGTTTACAAGGGAGCGTGCACCTCTGCAGATTTGCCACTGATACAAAATATTATGACAACATGTTGTGGTTATACCTGTTGGGATGAGGTTGTGGTTGGCGCTGACAGGCCTCCATCCTATGGCCTTAACTTTCTCTTCATGTTCCTGATTGTCTTGACAATTCTACAAGAAAAGATGATGAAACAATAACAGTTATGAAAGTGTGAAAAAAAAATAATATGCACATAACTTTGGCACTCTTTCAATCGGTATTTAATACATTAGAGAATTAAATGCAATGTGCGACTGTCTGTGGTTGACTTACTATTCTAGCACGACTCAGTTCAGTGTGTCTTGGGGCTGTGGGCAATGCCTTCTTGCCTGACGTAGGTCGCTTCGGCAACATCTTCAATTCCTCTCCCATTTTTGAATCTCCTACACCCTGTAAGCAATTAAAATAAATTAATTAAAAAAATGATTATTCAAATTTACTCGTATAATATAATTCATCCTTATCTTCTACTAATACAACATAACAAACATATATATTAATATGTTTTTGATGACAAAAAATTACAAAAAAAAATAACAAAAGGGGTTGGTGAAATCCCTACAAAAGACAGAAAAAATGTTAATCTGTTTATAAATCTCTGAAAGCAGTTGGAACAGTGTATGAAATTGTTTATTTCTAACATGTCAAACCACTTAAGCCTATGAATATGATAAATTATATAAAGGTATAAAGCTTACATTTTCCTTAGATCTTGGTATTCTCTTCTTCACTGAATCCAACAACATTGCACACTAAAATAATCAATCCCATATTGACATTATCAAATCAAGTAAATTTTTTCATAACATCTTTGGCAGCCCAAAGATTTAATTACAGAGGTTTCAATTCAATTATGGGATACAAAAATTACAATCATCATTTAAAAACAATAACAAAGATACTGCAATATAAGACAAAGAATTGTAATACCACCAAAAGATTATTATTTGGTTCTTTTTTAAAGTGGTCTCATATTAGAATGGTCTTGTATTAAAGAGGACTTGGAATTAGAGGGTTCTTGAATTAGTGCTTGCAGTCTAGTACACATTCCCTGTTAAAAAGCTTCTATAAATAAATAAATAAATAAAGAAATTGTGTAATAAAATGCCTCTTACAGGATTTGAACCTGTGACCTCTCAATTAAACTTACTTTCTGGGAATAATTAACTGCTCTATCCATCTCTGAAAGGATTGCTTTGATGTCATCACTTTCAATGATGCCTGTTTCACGGAACCAATGAAACCTGCCACCACTAACATGTGCCAGAGTTCTCAGACATTCCGCTGTTTGCGTGATGTTGGCGTACCGACCTGGGATTGCACCATTCGAATCGTAGTCGTCAACATTGAAAAGGATTGTATGAATTTTGGTCAGCTGTCCAACAGCTGCTTCTTCAACGTAAGAGCAAATGACATCGGGAAGTTGGTCAGGAATACCGCTGGTGAACAGGTAAATACCTTCAACAACTACGGGGAAAAAAGACATTTCATAAACAATGGACAAATCAGTGTTGAGATATTCACAAGGAACATAAAAATTACAAAGACGATGATAGGAAAATCATACTTTAAACACAAACAGGATTTTCTGAAATGCTTCTGGCTTTCTTAAAGCTTGAACAAAAATAGCAATTTTTCTAAATTCTAGGTAACAAAAAGATATTTTTTGATTAAGTGGCATTGATAATTAGTGATAATATTTATAACAATTATATAAACTATGTTCTCAGTTGGATGCAATATAAACTTTCACACCAGCATTTGTGATATCTTACCTGTCATTCTCTTGTGGTCATCCTCAGTCTCCATGGCAAGACGAAGAGCAGCCATGAAGTTCCTACTACCTCCACACTCCAGACCAAGGATCCACCTGAGTTAAGTACAAAAGTTTAAATAACACAGGAAGCAGTGGCTGATTCAAGGGGGTGGGGGCAGATGGCCTTCTAGCGGTGCCATAATGGTAAATTTTCTTTTAAATGACAATCCCTTTACAAGACAAACATGTGTCACACAAGATGCTCTACATACTGTTGTGTGAAAAAAATCCTGTAATCGTGACATGAATTGAACCAGGACCATGGGAATGGAAGGCGAGGATCAAGTATAGGTGTAATTTTTCCCTATTTTTTTTGCTTTTTTCGCAATTGTTTTCACACGTACTGAGTATTCAGTACATTTCCAAGTCAGATAAAATTACAATAATAAAATTATCATAATAAAATAATGACAAAATAATGATAGTAATAGTAATAATAATAATGATAGTAATAATAATAATAATTATAATAATAATAATAATAATAATAATAATAATAATAATAATAATAATAATAACAATAATAATAATAATAATAATAATAATAATAATAATAAA